AATTCCTTCAGCATTGTCGGCGTCTTGAGTGATCATTTCCACAGTCAGGGGTAACCATTTGCAGGTTTATCTACTTTCCACCAGCTCTCATCCACAATCCAGTGGGTCCAATGTGGATGGAGCTTGCTTGTACGCGTTGCTCCAAATCCCTGATATTAAGATGTTCCTAAATAATTGCTGTTTTAATTCAGTATGATGGTGGCAAAGGGATGCGTCGGGGTTCTTATCGGGCAGCTTAAATTCGTTGTCATCTTTTCCTAGTTTATATACAATCATGAAGGTCGCCACTTGTGCATCATTAATTTTTTTTATCATCATACACTGAATTGAAACAGCAATTATTGAGGACCATCTACATATGAAGGATTTGGAGCAACGCGTTCAAGTAAGTTCCGTCCACATTGGACCCACTGGGTCATGGAGGACAACTGATGGAAGGAAGATACACCTGCAAATGGTTCGATGGCGACCAATTACCCCCGACTGTGGAAATGATCACTCAAGACGCCGACGATACTGAAGGTATTATTTAAATTATTCGAATTTTTCATATCATACACCATTAATAATTTTTATGCAATCAATTACTTATTTTTCCAGATGTCGATGAACAACCTGATGACGATATTTTCCCTATCGAACTGTTCGATAGGGAAAATATCGATCATCAATCTCATGTTCGATTCGAACATGAGATTGAAGACTCTGATGATGACGAAGATGAAGATGATGACGAAGATTGACACTAAAACATGTCGATGTTAAGATGATTTTATAGTTTACTAGCTGACCCGGCGAACTTCGTACCGCCTCTGAATTATTAAATATACCTATTAAATGTTGTGTTAACGTATCTATTAGCTGAATTAAATTCAGTTTTTTTCGATGGTGAATTTGGCTTTGGTTGAAGAAAATTAATGTTGACTCTCTGGATCAGAAGTCACCTAAAATTAAAATTTTACATCATCCTTTTTTAGGCAGCTTGTAGGCATTATTCTTGTAAAGTGTACCACCAAATAAATAAACTCAGGCACAGGAATGTTCAAAGAATGTAAAGAAAACAAAAAAAATCTCTAGCGCAGCCCTGTTTCACTCTATCTGCACTGCATGCACTGCACAACTCCATCTGTTCCATTCTATCTGCACTACTCTATCTGATCTTCTCTTTCTGCACCACTCTGTCTAATCGGAATAGTGGAATAGTTCTGTTCGAAATAGCTCCAGTTCCTGAGCAGCATGGTTCTACTGTATCTGCAATGCCGAGCTTCGTTCCAGGTATCAGAGATGGCGCGGTATACAAAATACAAAATAAACTTGGTATCGGTTATAAGAGATGGCGCCGTATGAGGGCTTAGTAAATTTTTTTCATAAATAATTAGAATAAGTAATGAAATGACCACATTACTGACACATAACAACATGCTGGTACTGTCAACGCTGAAAAAAGTTTCAATTTGACAGCAAAATCCCCATTACAAAAAATGTGATAAATGAAGAACCGCTCGACCGATTTTGTGCTAACTTCACATAAGCCATCTAATAAATAGTCCGAACAAAGCCTAAACATTTGGTTTGGCTAGGTGAGCCCGTTCTTGAGTTATAAAATTACAACGAAAAGTGGCATTAATTTTTATATATATAGATTACTAATGAATAATACGATTTTGCATAGTGGAATAATAGTTATTTTTGTACCTAGTGCGCGAAATGTCATTTAGGTGAACGAGAACGAAAGTTTTTTGAAGACGCGAATCGGAGTCAAAAAAATTGTTCGAATAGACCTGGAATTGTTAAGTCGAGATTGCCCTGTGTAGGTATGTTTTTCATGATAAATCATCAAAAATGATTTCGGGAAACTTGTAATTTAATTGGATACTGATGTTTTTTTATATATTCTTCACCAAAAAAAAAGTATCAGCTGCTTGTAAGTTGGTGGAAAAATTGGGAGCTAACAGCGCGTCTACGCCCGGAACCTTTTGTGACCCCAGTTGACAACTTTTCCACCGACATACGAGCAGCTGACAATTTTTTCCGAGAATCATATATAAACTATTAGTATCTACCCGAATTTCAAGTTGCTCGACATCGTTTTGAAAATTCGCATTTTCGGACTCATTCGCACCGCTAGCTGACAAGTACCCCACCACCCCCTGGCTAGCGGATATTGTTCGATGTTCATTATGGAACCAAATTTTCCGTTCATAAAAGTTTCGTGCTGCCCGGGAGTGATTCCCGTCAAGATTTTTTTTGATGTGTTCACAACTCCTTAGCAAATACCCCCCGCCACCTAGCTAGCTGACACTCCAAACGTATCTGCACAATCCGCGTGTTGCTAAATTCACCTAAATGTTGCACCGCCACAGATGCGGTGATTAAAATTCACTAATGCCAATGCCAAACCACAGCTTGCCAAACCCTGTTTAATTTAACAACACTGGTTTTTCTACCATTCCACTATGGTGCCTACAACGGCTGAATTTAGGCACACGCGGAAAGTGGGTACAATGGAATAAAAATATAAAGAAGCTGCCCGAAATCGTTGCAATTTTTGTACACAGGCTCCAGGACTATTGCGGACACCCACGGTGGTGGAAGCGTAAGCCCCAACACCTGCATTGTGGCATTTTCTGAAAAATTGAAAAGCGATCTTAAAGAGGCAAATACCAAGATTGTTGTCCATCTCTTGGAAGACATCAAATATATATGTAGATACTGATGTTCTCAATTTACTTTCAAATTCCATAATTGTTGTTGGACTGTTACTTAGCAAAAAAATATCATTAGCCATTCATTTTTGACGCCTAACGGCATATAATAAGACGAGCACGATTGATAAAATTGATAAGATAAGTAAAATGCCTAGCTTACTTAGAGCAATTTGTCTAATTATCTGTAATATATTGAGCGCTAGGATAATAAGAAAACTGGTTCAAGGTTCAAATAAGCTGTTTAATGTTTCTGTATAATTTCAAGAGACAAACTTCATTTCAAGTTCCTAAGATGAAGCGATGTCCTCTCATATATTGAGTTGCTTTTGAGATGATGGAGGAAGTCCAGAATTGACACCTCAATAGGTGGTTAAATAGAGATCATCAAACATTGGCGAAATTATTGATCGACTAATTAGAAAGGAATCAGCTACTAGCTCAGTTGAAAAAGTTGTAGATTAGACCTAATTTTTTTGATTTTGTATTGAGCAGTGCAACTTTTCCGAAACTTCTTAACAATAATCAATCATTAATTAACCTATAACTCGGAGCCGCGGTAGTTAGTCGGAAAGTTGGATGAATGCCATTCTCCATAAAATCTCGAGGAAACCTACTCCCAAAAAGTTATCCCACTCATTCCGATAACAATAGTCTCCATGTAAGTTTACAAGCGAAGTTCAAGAAAAGAAAATAATGGAGCTACTACGACTATTGAAATATCAGCAGGCCACCTGGGGGCTTTATTCTTTCCGTTTACCTCTCGGTATAGCCCTGGGACCTGATAAAAATACTGCGCTTGCTTTCTGACTTATTTTTAAATTAAAGGGCCAGATAATTTAGAACACGGCGGAGCTGCCGCTGGTCGGCGGCATATTACGAAAGAAAGGCGAATGGTTGATTAAAATTATCGACCCTAAACAGTTATGCTTAAGTAAAGCGAAATTTCATGTGGTACGGATATATTTCCTGATCATATTCTTTAATACTTATGGAATACTTACTTGAAAAATAGATTTTCAGTTTGAAGTTACCCTCATTATCGCTTCATAATTTCTCTTTAAGAAACTTAATGCAAGTAAATGATTATGTATCTTATAGCTCATGACATAATTGGTACCAATTGGCTAAACATTATTTGAATTTTTTTTTTTTTTTTTTTTTTACGGATATGCGCACTCGCAAGGAAATGTCCTATTAGCCGTGGAAATGTATCCAAAATGGCAGTGCGTTTACCTTCTGGGCGAGAGACTCATTTTAAAATATATTATAGGATAACTTACGCAAAAAATACCATGGTTTTCCATAAGCGAAACTAATTAAGCACTAGCATCTCTCAACTGGATTCTGTGTTGGATTTTCCGATAATCAACTTAACCTAATATTAATGGCCGCAATAAGTGATAACATACATGCAATATCGGTTAACAAATGCCAATTTCTTTTTATGACGAACACTAAAATTCCATTTATGCATTATCCATGGACACAATATGGATGAAGTTTGCTTTAATAACAGCCAGATTCAGCAGCTGTTAGTCTAGGCCATGGCGCTAACTGATGTTTGACAATTTGCAAATTGAACTTGAGCTCCAGGTTCGATTTAAATATGCTTTTTATTTGGAGGTTATAATTGACTAACATACCTACTATAAAATTTTTGAAATGCCATTAGCTTGATTTTTCGATAAATGGGTATATTGTATTGTGAGAAAGTAAGCGTGCCTAAAAAAAATGCATGCAATGAGTTTGTATTGATATAAGGGCCAAATTGTGGACCGATTGGTGAAGTCATTGGCAAATATATCCTGCTGGTGAAACTAAAAATTGCATGCAATTTTTACCAGCAGGATAATGGAGAAACCCGAACTCTCTATCATTGGATACTACGCTAATTGCATACCGGTTTCGAGCTCTCGTCAGTGCAATATAAGCGAAAGCATACCAACTCAGAGAAACAAGAGGTTCCAACGATAAGTTCAGAATCAATACAAACTTATTGTATGAGTTAATAACAGCGATTAAACACTTCTTTCGTGGAAACTTTTTGATTTATCTATTATCTATTTAACTTTTAGTAGTCGTAAAGCTCATTTTGTCGATTAGATTGTAATTATTAAATTCGCAGTTCTAGATTTTTGAGTTGAAACTAATGAAATTATAGTGAAAAATGTCGTATGTGCCAACTAATCGCAATTTTTTTGATGATATAACTTTAATTATAAAATGTGAGATTAATTTTCCGATTTTTCAGAAATTCGCATAATATTTATTTATTTCTTTATTCAATTTCAGGAAACATTTTAGTCTGCGTCTGTATATTTCTCGTGAGGAAACTCCGAAGACCTTGCAACTATCTTCTAGTTAGCTTAGCTGTGAGTGACCTTTGTGTAGCTATCTTAGTTATGCCCATGGCATTAATTTACGAGATTAAGGGAAAGTGGATTTTCGGAGAGATCGCTTGCAACCTTTGGGTAAGTCATATTCATTCTATAAACCAGCCCTTAATATGAAAATCTGAATTTCCACTCGATATGCAATGCGTAACACCAATTTTAATCGTAGTAGAATAGCCACAAAGCAAAATATAATTTCTGAAGCTGAAAATGCCTCTTTTCGAACCGGAGCATTCAAATGCTATACGGGTCGTATTTTAATAACAGTAAATAGAGCCCCAACGTGACCGCCGTCGAGCATAAAAAGAACTGGGGACTGTAACGGACCTCTATTTTCCATTTTAGTGAAAAAAGCTCGATTATGATTTGTGGGAGTTTTTTTATAAAGATGTTTGTTAAATTTTTATTGAGTTTTGAAATTTAGCATCATAAGTTAATATGTAAAGTTTAATATACAAAAAGGATTACCTTTCTTAGCAAATACAAGAAATTTTGAAATAGTAGTCCATGTCTCACAGTGAAGAGAATAGTTAAAGAACTGGAGTAAAACACACAGTCTATCTTCACTCTTTATTTTACAAAAATAATCAGTTGGAAGGGGGGTTGTACATGTTTCGGATCTATCATAGATCCATCATCAGCATAAGTTCAAATGGCACAGGGAAAATATGGTCATATACGACATGCCTAAGTATAATAATTATACATAAAAATATAAGTGTTCATGCTGTTATCAGCAGAAAGTTGGTGGCTAAAGCCGCATCCAACACAGAACACACTTACAAAACAAAGGTGAAGATTGAAAAAATTATTTTATTAACATTAGAAAAATAGGACTGCCACACAAACACAGAATATGCCTATAGGAGGCGGAATTCTGGACGCTCATCTGTACTTCTGGATGTTAGTGGGTGTTAGCTTTTAGTTGTTAATCAAATTTCAAAAATTTACTTAATGAAAAATCGTGCTGTCTGCACGAGGAGTAAGAATGTACATTCTTACTCCTCGTGCAGTAAGAATGTACATTCTTACTCCTCGTGCAGACAGCACGATTTTTCATTAAGTAAATTTTTGAAATTTGATTAACAACTAAAAGCTAACACCCACTAACATCCAGAAGTACAGATGAGCGTCCAGAATTCCGCCTCCTATAGGCATATTCTGTGTTTGTGTGGCAGTCCTATTTTTCTAATGTTAATAAAATAATTTTTTCAATCTTCACCTTTGTTTTGTAAGTGTGTTCTGTGTTGGATGCGGCTTTAGCCACCAACTTTATGCTGATAACAGCATGAACACTTATATTTTTATGTATAATTATTATACTTAGGCATGTCGTATATGACCATATTTTCCCTGTGCCATTTGAACTTATGCTGATGATGGATCTATGATATATCCGAAACATGTACAACCCCCCTTCCAACTGATTATTTTTGTAAAATAAAGAGTGAAGATAGACTGTGTGTTTTACTCCAGTTCTTTAAATACAAGAAATTCTTACATTTTACAATAATTGTTGCAGCGATTTTTTGCGTACGGCTAACTGATACTAGTGCGAAGCAGTGCCATCTTTAGGCATGGGCCAGCTAAAAAAAATATTCAAATAATAAATGATAATATCGGGTCTTCAAAAAAAAAACCAATCGAAGATTGCTTTGATTACGAAAACGTACTTCGCATTACTGTTTCTTTATTGGTCAGGATTTTTGACATGACGTTTTGACATTAAAGTTCATTCATAAAATTAAATAAAAGTATTGCTAAGACATACCTACGTTTAAAAAACCATAGCAATCTTTGATTGTTTTTTTTTTTGAAGACCCGATATCAATAATATCAAATGAAATAATATTTAAATAATAATTATTTGAATATAAACCAGGTGCTGTCCCACCATGTATCATTTATTTAGGGAACCTAATTACTGTAGGTACTGAGTGGCGAGTGCTGCACTCAGACAATAAATGGAAAACGCCATAAAATATTTAGAATTGTTTTGTTTTGTAAATGTCTTTTTAAAATATGACTTGTGACTTGTTTCTTGTAGCACGATATACCTATTAAATATTATTATTTAGTTAGGCAAAGGTTACTTATTTGTTTGTATATGTAGGTATCCAAAAATATGTGTTTCATTTTGTTATATTTGTTATATACAGGGTGTCCACGTAGTGCGATATCGGACGATATCTCCTTACAGGGTGATGCAAGAAAAAAAAATTAAATCACAAAGTTGTTTGATACTCCAATATGCACACTCACAGGTCCTTGGTTTTAAGCCTGATTTTAATACGCTTACACCAATCCATTTTCGTTGTGGCTTTTTGTGTGAGTGGATTCAATAAGTAACAACGAAATTGTTATCGAAAGGAAAGACAACAATTAATAAAAAGGTTTATAAATAAGGCGAAACATCTTTTAAAAATATGTTTGTGTTTTATTTTGAGATTTGAGCTAAGACAAATATATTTACATGAAGAGGGTCGGAAAAAAGAATCAAACGAGTGAATTAAGGGGACAACAGCACCCCGCTGTTACTTTGTGCCTTTCTTTTGAAAAAGATCTTGCTATGGAGTATTTCCCAAAAATAAAAATACTCACGCTAAAAAATAATAACTCCATAAATCTTTAGATAATCGGTCAAAGAATGTTCAGGCCAAATTTGAGCCAATTCTGATGTGCCGTGTTTTTGCACCTTCGAAGCGCTTCACGAAAATGGGCCTATGTACGCATGTAGGTACATGGAGTGCTGTTGTCCCCTTAATAGTAATTTATCAGTCACTGCCATCATGTAGCATTTTTCTCGCATTTAATGTCATTATAATTCGCATATTATTATGTCTTGAAGAAATGCCAATCTAATCAAGTAGTAACCAGCAGCAATAGAAGCAGGTACTTCAAAGAAAAAGAAATGTACCATATTAACCATATAACCATATTAATCTACCTAAGTAAATGAAAAATACCTGTTTTATTACTTTCGTATCCAAACAACTGGAAACCCAACATTAATTAAAACCAAGTCGTTAAATAAGAAGCAAAATATGTATGGCTCCATTAGTGTTAGGTATTTAAATTTCGCGCCCGAATATTAATACAGACATTTGAATACCAAACGAGCGTGCTTATCACTTTTTGTTCGAATATACGGTTACGGTTGGGAGTGAAATAATGTACATTCCGAAACATTCCGGTGGATCCGAGAGTGAAATTTTTATGTCATCAGTGCTTCTAACATCAGGTGAGAATATCAGATTGAATCTATTTTCGATGATTGTCTGTGAAAAGTAAGTTCAAAAATAAAAAATCTGGCAACGACAAATTTTAGACTAGCATTTTACTAATTTTCTGTAAAAAGAAAATTTTTTTAGAGAAATTTACGACAGTAAAGACATACATATAAAGAGTAGAATTTTATAGATGTACCTAAGTTGCTCTGGAAAATTTTTCTTTTTACAGAAAGTTAGTGAAATGCTAATCTGAAACCTGTCGTTGCCGGATTTTTTCATTTTTGAACTTACTTTTGACAGAACTATTGAAAATAGATTCAATCCGATATTCTCACCTGATGTTACAAGCACTGATGACAGAAAAATTTCACTCTCGGATCCACCGGAATGTTTCGGAAGACCAAAGAACATCTCACACTTCTTATGGAAAAAGCAATTTGTTTCAAATTTTTTTTTTTTTTTGGGGTGGTCCAGATAGAAAATGGGGGTGCATTTACGAATTTTTGAATATCACTACTACATCAATAATTCCTGAAAATTTGAACAGCCTAGCATTAGCCTTTTTTTTTTTTTTTTTTTTTTTTTTACGGATATGCGCACTCCCAAGGAAATGTCCTATCACGCTCGAGAAGCGGCAAGTGCGCGGAAATGTCGGTGTATGTTGGTCTTGAAACGGTTCAGGTTGTAACCTGCAGGGAAAACCGTCGCAGGGAGTTTATTCCACAGCGATGCTGTTCTCCAGAGATATGAATTCTGATATAATGAGGTTCTTGGTGCCTCTAGTTTGACAGTAAATTCATGGTTACCGTCTGTTTGACGGGTTCGCCTGGTAGGTGCTACTCTCGGTGGAATCATACGTGCCAACTCTTCAGAGCATTTTCCGTGATAGTACCTGTAGAAGAGAGATAAATCGCCCACAGATCTGCGATGTTCGAGACCATCCAAGTTACGAGTAAGTGCGGGGTCATTGATCAGCTTGATAGCTCGTTTTTGCACGGTATTCAAAAGCATTAAGGTATGTTTGGGTGCTGCACTCCATATATGTGAGCAGTACTCCATAGTTGGTTGAATCTGGGCTTTGTAGAGTGTCAGCAATTGGCTTGGTGTGTACAGATGTCTTGTACGAAATAGCACCCCCAGCTTTTGGGACGCCCTTTTAGCAATATCTGCCACGTGACTGTGCCAAGACATGTTGGTCTCTGCAGTAACCCCCAAGATGTTCAACTGACTCTGTAATGTGACAGCACTTCCAGATAGCATGATGTTTGGCTCACCGGTGCTGGTCTTTTTTGAAAACAGAGCTGCTTGGGTTTTCTGCGCGTTGAACTGTACAAGGTTTTTGTTACCCCAGTCCTCTATTATCTCCAGGTCGTTATTTATCTGCGATATTTGAGTTAGTCTAAGATGATGGAATTCACGTGCGGAAAGACCTGTGGGTGGTATGAGTGAGGAGACTACATTGCCATCGTCTGCAAAGCAATAAAGTGGATTTAGTGTTTTATCTATGAGGTCATTTAAGTAAATCAGGAAAAGAGTTGGCGAAAGGATTGCTCCCTGTGGCACACCAGCATTTATTTGGTAGGAGTTGGAGTTCTGGCCATCCAGTGCAACATAAATGGATCTGTCCTTTAGGTAACTTTCAAACCAAGTGCAAAGTTTCGGCGATAATCCCATTGCTTTGAGCTTGTTGAGCAGATTTTCATGCCAAACTTTGTCGAATGCTTTAGATATATCTAAGGCAATTGTTCTTGTTTCACCCCGCAACTCAATCGCTTTTTGCCATAAGTGAGTGACGTATGTAAGTAAATCGCCAGTTGACCTATATTTTCGAAATCCGTATTGCTTATC